TCAGGCATAGGGGCACCGGAGGTAAGCGTATGAGCGTCCGGAGGAAATGCGGCGACCGACGCGGTTAAAATTACGCAGTAGGTCGCCGCGGACCGAAGGTTGATATTTAATGGTGTCGACATTTCCGGAGGTCAGATGGACGGTCGGGATTCGTTGACCGCGGTGATGAAGGGTTTGGGGGGTTGGGCGGGCGCGGCGTGAAGCGACGGGTTCGATCCCATACGATATGGCCATATTGGTGAATGCTAGGCCTCACTTGTCGGTACGTGGTGGCAGAGATGGCGCAGGGAGCCATGGATTCTGCGCTGACAGAGTGTGGCAGACTGGCAGAAGACAGGTAAGGCGTTAGCAAATGTCCTAATTATTTCAGGGTGGGTGGGAAGGGTCGAAGCGGAGCTTCTCGAAAGAAGCGTAGAGCTAAGTCTGGAGGCGCCACAGGCGCTTCCTTCTGTGATATTATTGAGAACAAACTGAACGTCTTCTTCAAGTTTGAGCAAGACGTCTTCTTGTTCAGTGGCCTAGTCAGCTAGTCGCGGCCGCGCGCTGCTCCGCGGTCAGGCGGCCGCGGGGCCAGGGTTCCGACCATAAGCGGGCGCTGCTTATGCGGAATGACGCATTCCGTGCTCAAAGTGCCTGTGCAATCTAACGGACTCACGTCAGCTGACTGCTCATCGCTCAACGCGCGAGCATTCCGATGACTAAAATCATCAGAACACTTTGACGGCCAATCACAGGGTCAGAATTGTCAGTTCCATTCAATATCAACCTTCCGATACGGGTGTTGGGGGGCGCCCGGACGGCTGCAAAGCGCCTCTGCTGTGCCGAAAACGCCGGGCCCCAAAAAGACAATCGTTTGCCCAAACGACAATTATTGGAGATCACAGGTGGGTTTTTGGTCTGCAGGTTGGGCTTCCAACGAAGGTGCGCGGAACAGCTGCGAGCAATCCGTGGGGTGGGTTTGGGTGGGACCTGCGGAGCGAGCGGAAAGATGAGTGCGGAGCAGACGCAACGGTTTTATGACGGGGCGCTCGCCAGCTTTGGGAAGATTGCAGAGAAGAGCGTTAATGAAGCCAGTACAGCGGCCGTAAGCGGACGTTTCAGCAGTACCAAGATTTCTTGGCGCGGAATGCATTCGGTGTAACGGTTGAGACCGCTACAGCTGCAGACGTAGGGGCGTTCATAACGGGGGATTTGATCCCCCAATCATAGGGCCGGTTGCAGGACCAAGCTGCCCAGGACGGGGAAGCCCATTCCGTCAGCGTCAGCCGTGACCCACGTGGTAAAGGATTTATCAAAGTCCTACTCCCTCCTCGGCTTCGAAGGGCGAAACAATCCTGCCAAAGCTGAGGTGGTGAAATCATTCCGCGTCGGTTATGAGAAGATGTTGCACGAGCAAGGGGTAAAGGTGCAACGGGCTAAAGTCTTTACAGAAGCGAAGCTGGATGCTCTGCTGGCGCACCTTGCGCAGCTAATCCAGGATAGTTCCCCTGGTTTAGAGAGGTGTGTGATGCTGACAGACCAGGCTGCCGTGCTATACCTGTGGGAGACGCTCGCGCGGGGAAAGGAGTGCGGGCAGCTGCAGCGGCGGCAAGTAGAGTTGGAAGAGCAGGCGGCTTACCCGGGTTGGAGCAAGACGGTCCGGCAGGAGCCAAGCGCGCGGATTCCGCTCGCGGCGCCGGACTCTCAAAGTCGCCTAACCTTCGTGGAGGCAGCCGAGGCGCTGCTCCTTGGCATGGAGGACGGAGGGCATTCAGTCGGAGGGGATGGGTTCTTGTTCCGAGCCATGAACAGGAGCCGGACCGGCTTTGTCAACGAGCCAATGAGCAGTGATACTCTGAGAAAAAGGTTGCAAAAACGGCTCAAAGAAGCCGGGTTGTTTGAGGGAGAAACTGTACATAGCTTCCGCCGCTCTGCCGTTCAGCATGCGGCTGTAAACCTGAACTACAACGTTAAGCAATTAATGGAGTTAGGGCGGTGGAAAAGTTATGCCGCCTTCCGACTGTATGTGGAGGAAGTGTGGCGCAAGTAAGGACTTTTATAACTCAGGGAGATTGAATCGTCGGCCCTGTTTTCTACTGTCATATTTTCAACAAGCAATTTATCCTGACGCATACGCAATTGGCTGGATGCCGGGATGAATTTCGGCCTTTACTTGCACATGTTTCGCTCATGCTTGGGCCACCAGCGGTGCGCTTATTGAATGATTGCAATTCTGATGGCTAGTACTTGTATCGATCGCCTTATTACCTAGCAAACGGATCCTGTCACAGATTGTTTGCTTATGACATCCGCTTGTCAGGAGGCTGCCGCTGTGTCTTACATCTGAGCTGTACAGTCACGTGCATTGACTCTTCACTTACTGGCTGCTACCTGCACGCCCTACTTCCAGCTTATCTTGAATACTCGGAGCTTATACAAGGCAGGATTTACCGTTCCCGCGGGCACCCGCCTGCTCGGGATGCACGCGTCCGTAGATCGCTCAATTTCGAGCGGGCCTGCCCTAATTGCAGAGTCGCTGCCTAGGTGCATCAATTCTAGCCACCAGTTAGTGGTGGTTGCCTCAGGAACTACCAGAATCGCATCCGTTCTGAAATTACGGATTGACTGAATCACACTAGGCAATGCTCTCACAGGCGGGAAGATCCACGCCGTTTCGCCTCTCTCCAGAAGAGTCCGCCAGTACGGTTCGGAGGGCGTCGACTGCATAGCAGCCCGGCATATAGCGGGGGGTTACAAAGCGGTCCGCTACGTGCCACGTGTCGGAAGCGAAAAGGTCCACGACTGGCTGGCCGAAGAGCGAGAAGGCGGCCCTTAAGACCGTCGGGGCAAGGCCCCAGTCAGAAGCGGAGGCCGGCGATTGAGTCGAGAACTCCAAACTGGCTTAGGGACTTGGGCCTTAAGTACCGAGCCCCGAAAAGGCCGGAATCCGGTCCAAGTTTGGTGGTATGGCAGGGGGGTTGAGGGACTTAGGGAGCACCATACCGCTCAGTTTAGCTACTTAGGAACATGGCGCTGCCAACCATGGCACCCACCGGGCTTAGGGATATGAGACCCTGCCAGCCCGGGCATGGCCGTCGTTTTCCAGACTGCCAGTTGCTGCAAGGGGGCAGGAAGGTGCGGCATTGTTGGAAAGGGTACATAAGGAAGAGACTTGGGGCAAGGCGCCATTCCAAACAGCCATTTCAGAAGCAGCAACGCCCAGGCGCACAGCAAGAAGGGGAGGCCACAGAAGGACAGCACAACCACAAGAGGGGGGCGCTGCGCTGCAAAGCAGGGAGCGCGGGCGCTGCAAGCAGAGGAGCACGGCATTGTCGGAAGACAGCACGGGGAGAGCACAGGGGTTGCAGTGTTGTTCTTGACACTGCTTCTCTGCTTGTTGAATTGGGGATGCTATGGGACTACTAGGGGTGCTGGAGCGCTTTGGAAGTGAGCACCTACAGCACCAAAATGGTGCTTCTTAGAATAAGTGCTAGGGTTCCTTCTGGCAGCACTTTGGAAATGCTGCTTCCCTGTGGGGTTCTAGAATTGCTGCAGCTTTGAAGATCCTGCTTTACTTTGCTAGGGTTGGGGCTGACAGCATTTATGAATGTTGCTTCTCGGTGCTATGGTTGTAGTTGACAGCGCTCTGAAAATGCTGTTTCTTTGGTCGCAGAAATGCCGCTCTCGGCAGGGGTGGTAGGGTTGCTTCTGGCAGCGCTTTGGAAATGGTGCTTTTGGGTGGCGCGCTAGGGTTGCTTCTGACAGCGCTTTAGAAATGGTGCTTTCTAGTAGGGGTGCTAGGGTTGCTCCTGACAGAGCGCTTTGGAAATGGTGCTCTTTGGTGCGGGTGTCTGGGTTGCTTCTGACAGCGCTTTGGAAATTGTGCTTTTTAGCGGGAGTGCTAGGGTTGCTTCTGGCAGGTGGTAAAGGGTGCCTTTCTTCAATGGTGGTTTTTGGTGGGCCTAGGGTTTCTTCTGGCAGGTGGAGGGTGCTGTGTTTTCTTTTGGCAGCACTTTGATGGGGTGTTAGGGTTGCCGCAGCACTTTGAAAATGCTGCTCTAGGCAGAAGTGCTAGGGTTGCTTCTGGCAGCGTTTAAAAAATGCTGCTTTGTTGTGGTGGCTAGGTTGCTGCGTTTTCCTTTAGCAGTTTAAAATGCAGGGATGCCAGAGTTGCAGCTGACAAAAATGAATGCTGCTTTCCTGTGACGTGCTGAGGTTGCTGCAGTCCTTGGGGGTTGGGTTGCTGCGGGTTGCTGTAGCAATTGAAAATAATGTCTCGGCAGTGATCCCTGCCGAGGATGCTAGGGTTGCACCTGTTAGTTCTAGCATTTTTTAAATGCTGTGAAGTGCTGAGGTTGCTGCAGTGCTGTGGGGATAACTTGCGGATTGCTGTGCTGTTCTCATATTTGATGTGGCTACTTTCTTGTGAAGTGCTGAGGTTGCTGCATTGCTTGGGGATGCTTTGGCACTTCCATTGCCTTTCGACGGGGGTGCCAGGGTTACTGCCTTTACTTCTTCTCAGTGGGGTGGTAGGGTCATTGCGCACAAGATTAAAACCATCAGATTAGGCAATACCAGGATGCCAAGTTTGCTTGCAGCTGCAACAGCATTCTGGAGTCACATCAAAGCACTCATAAAGCAAGGTAGACTCACTTGGAGCGGTGCGGATCTTGAAGAATTACATATTCAAGAAGACAATCTGTTAAGGCAGTTTATCGAAGGTGTGGCAAATGGCCACTTGAAAGGTCGTGAAGCTCAGGATGTTGCAAAAGTGTTATCTCGGTTAGCTGCCTTGGGGGACTGGCACGCATATGCTTGACTCTACCACTGAGCTCTTTTCAATCCATTCCGCAGGTGATTACGCTCCACGAGACGCAACACTTGGGGCCCGGGGCTGACTGTCCTTCTCCAACGGGTAAGAAACATGTTTCGTTCTTTCTGTTTGCCAGCGTTTGCCATTGAATAACACATTTCTGCAGGAGTACGAGCCAGAACCTTTTCAGCCCGCGCCACCGCCGGCCAATGACTGCTCTAATGCGCCATCTTCAAGTCCATATAAAAGGCATTTTGAGGCGGCCAATTTTTCATTTCCAGAGCAGCGCTTTGTACTTTCGGAGCAAGCACCAAGGTACAGCAAAGGTACGGGTTAGGCAAATCGGACTCTCATCTTTCTTCCGAGGGACCTTGCATACATACATATCAGCCAAAGTCAAGGGGAACCAGAACTCTTGTACTAGAATCTGTTATATTTTCTCTTCTTTCTCTGGGAAGGAATCATAACAGATAAGCAGTATAGGGTTTTCCATTTGGTTTCCTTTTGGGAATATGTATTTATGTAAGGCCATACCTGAAAAGATACAATATAGTAATTGACAGTTTGGAGTAGAAAATATAACAGATCAGTAGTACAGAGTTTTGCCTCAACAATCAAATT